CCCCCCCCCCCCCCCAAAAAAAAAACATTAGAAAATGTTTATGCTGAATATAGAAAGCAGCTTAGACGCGTTGACTATAGAGACCTACAATTCTGATTAGCCTAAATTACCAACAAAAAAATGTTGCGTTTTTTGAGGACTTATATCTGTTTCGAAGCAATATCCAGCAGTCACCAAGCCTTCCTTCCTTCTTTATCTGACTTAACCTAAAAGTGACTTTTAAAGTACAGAAAAGTAACAGCCAAAAAAAAAGCTTTCACCTTGCCGTTAAGCCTCCCTATTAAACATCTTTCTTTCTTCTTTGAAGTTAAGTTTCATTGTCTCATTTGAGACATCAAAAATATATAATGTACCAAAAATCTAAATAATAAAAAAAATGAGCAACAGATGTGACGAAATGTTGTCGTCAGTTGATCGATACGGTAAAAATTGTTTTCGGTTACCACTTCAATCCAATAGTGGTGATAAACTTCAATTTTTCTGATGAAAACCGCTTTTTTTTTTATTTTAGCTTCTTCTTTCCTTTGCAAACAATCAATCAAAAAAGTATTTGGATTAAAAAAGATGGGAAAAAAAGTAGCAACGAAAAAAAAAAAGACTATATAAAATAATGTAAACAAAAAAAAAAATCAAGAATTCTTAAATAATAATGCATTAAAAGAGCAGCAAAAACAGCAGCTGTAAGTAAAAGAAGCAGCAGCAGCAGCAGCAGCAGTAAGAAAGCTGAAATTGAAAAGTATTTTTGAAGAGGATTCGAAAGCAAACCGCTACCACCACCAAAATAAACATCAAATTGCATCCGTTTTTATTCCAAAAACTTTTCGATCTCTTTCTCTATCATTTGCCACTATTTCTACGTGATCTTTTGATCATCTTTTCTAAAGCCTCAATAAACATATCAATAATTATCAATTAATTGTATAACAAACAATAGTATCAATAATATAACAATAATAATCAAAAGATAGTGGTTAAAAAAAATAAGTTTAGGTTACCGTTGTTCTATCAAAAATTTCCAACTTTATGTTACACAGACTCAGAAACACAGTATCAGTGTTCCAGTTTTTTCTGCTGCTACTGCTAAGGATGGTGGTGGTGATGGATAAAAAAAAAAAAACCATTATAAGCACTAATGTCTTTCCTTTTCCTTTTTTTTTTTTTCTATTTTTATTTTGCTTTTGTTCTGTTATTCTCTATGTAAATCTTTCTTTTTTCTTCTCCTCTCTTTTTTTCTTTCTTTAGCAAAAAAAAAAAAGTTCTTTTTTTTGACAAGCAAAACGATAAGATAAAAGAATTTTTTTATCCTTTTTTATATCTCTAAGAAAAAAAAAATTGAGATAAAAAAAAAATGATTTTTCAATGTTCCAAAAGAGGAAGACGAAGACGAAAGATTTAAGTGACAAGATGAAGGCAGCCAGCATAATTGAATCAAATAGCTCCATTACACATCATTAACCCCCAAATAAGGCAGTGCTATTTGCTAAAACCAAAAGAACAGTTAATTTTTTTTTTCCACTCCAATATATTTGGTTAAGTTAAATAAAACTGCTTTTCTTCTCTTTGCTTTC